CCCCCCCCTCTTTTCTGTTATGTTTTCTCCTTTTTCTGCACCCAAGGCTTTCATTTTGAATATATTTGGTCCCCTTAGAGTGTGGAAATCCCAATATTACCTTGCGAAAGGCTAGCTTGCATGAAGCTAGTTTCTGCAGTTGCAAAAGCTTATGGGCTTTCAGTGGCGTATTCTTGTTTCGGGTGGGCTATGGGGGGTTTACAAGGGTTTGTGTATGTGGGAAGGGGTTGGCAGGTGGGGAAGGAAGAGGGAAAAGGGTCTGCTTGCGGCACAGGGGCTCTGTCATTTGGTAATCGGTTCCTCTCGTTGAGTGTCAGTTCCACACTGTCAGGATTATCTGATTATGACTTTTTTTTTTTTTTTTTTTTTTGGACTTACCTGTTGTATCTCTTTTGGCCTCCCATCTTTAGTGGGGTAAGGCTATGCATTCACCATATATTCGTTTACAAATTACAGTCCCCTCTTAGGAATTATAAGGAACACGACTTTTGAATGATGCGTTGGGGAAAAACGTGTGTATAGTCGCTGCAGGGGGCCATCACCTGTAGAGAAAACCCCGGCCGTAGCGCAAATACACACAGGGGAAGGAGATAAAACTGGAAGAGAAAAAACTGAGCACGTTCTTTGGGCCAGTAGCAAATATCAGAGCCAGAGAGAGAAAAGTCAGATGCATCATTCCCCCAACAGCACAGGTAAGTCCGGCAGCTAATGCTCTTTTGGTCTAGGCTACCAGCCGGGCCGCCTGGGTCTCCCTTTTTTACCGGGCGGCCCAGCCGTGCAAGGACTAGGGAAGGTCCCAGGCTCCCAGCCAAAAAAAAAAAAAAAAAAAAAAAAGAAAAACCGAAAAAAAACTCTGTTATGCAGAAAAATAAACTGTGAAGTTTGAACAACTTTCACCTCAGGGTAACATCTGGAGCCTGTACCATTGTATTTTCGGCCTTGGGCACTGGGCCCTAATGAAAAGACATCATTGGTATTAAAAAAAAAAAAAAAAAAATTACCAAATTTTATATAAATTTATATATATATATATGAGTCGGTGAAACTCCGACGAAACAGTTTGTCACAGCCCCTCGTTTGTTGTCCTCTTCTCCCTCTCTGCCTACGGTTTACCGGGCAGTTCTATTTGACAATATATATACAGGGTAACCGGCGTTCGGGACGGGCCGAATGCCCGAACCCGAACGCCCGAACCCGAACGCCCGAACCCGAACGCCCGAACGTATGCGATCCCTTGGGGATGCGTTCGGCCATTCAGGCCGAACGCGGACCTAGTCATCAAAAAAATCTGAAAAAAAGATATGTTATGGAGAAAAATAAATTAAACAAGATTTGCCTGAGCATTACGTCCGAATTCCTTACCAAATTTGAAATAAAAATAAAATACACAGAACAAATACTAATAATAAAAATAAATAAAAATAGAAAGAGAATTAAATTTAGTGAGTGCGCGAGCATGTTTTCTACACCGCCATCTTTGGCGATTTTTCATTTTTTTTGGCATAGCTAAATGCCCTGAAAATTTACAGATGTGTACTTCACATAATACAAAACCCACTAAAAAAGTTTCAAAAAATAATAAAATTGTTTAGACCCCGAACTAAAGTGAAAACAAAAAGTAAAAAGTGAAAAAGAACGTGGGCAAGCACGTTTTGACACCGCCATCTTTGGGGATTGTTAATTCTTATTTGGCTAAGCCAAATGACTTGAAAATTTATAGGCATGTACCTCACGTCATAGAGAACTCACAAAAAAAAATTCAGAAAAAAAGTAATTATTTTTAGGCCCCGAAATAATTTTTGGCGGGGGCCGAACGCCGTTGGGTTCGGACCCTGTACGGGACCCCGAACGCCCGAACGTACGGAGGTCTGCCCGGGGGCCTCCGTACGTACGGGCTGGTAACCCTGTATATATGATGAGTCGGTGAAACTCCGACGAAACAGTTTGTCACAGCCCCTTGTTTGTTGTCCTTTTCTCTCTCCTTGCCAACGGTTTACCGGGCAGTTCTTTTTGTGACGATCTGTTTGTGACGATATATATATATCTTTTTCTTTTTCTTTTTGGCCCAGCCGGGCAAGTGGACCCGGGCCACTCTGATAGTTTAGTGATCAACAAGTCATCAACCATTGCTCACAGAATGACACATTTTCATGCCTGCGAACCATTTGTGCAGATTGCAGTCTTGGTCGGAGACCCTATCCCGATTGACGATCTGATGCAGGGATACAGGAGCGGGCTCTGCTCGCAAGCAGAGGTGTACAGGGCAGTGGCTGCCCGGGTGGGAAGAAGGATGAACGAGCTGAAGGGGGAGCTGGATGCGAGGCTGGAGCATGCGGCCGTCCTTGAAGAACAGGCTGTGGATAAGAATGAACTGGGTGGATGGACAGGCGTGCGGGAGTCCTGGGAGCTGCTTGACTGGCAGGCTCAAGGCATGGGGGTGTTTGACACTGAAGCCCTCCTAGCGAGCAGCAGTGAGAACTCGTGCTGCGTTTCACTTCCTAGGCAGCTCGATAACGGATCGGAGCTCAGTCCACAAGGAATGCAATCTCCATCAAGTACGGATGAGGCTTCTTCGCGTCACCGGGGTGGTAGTAAGCAGCCATCGGCTTTGACAATGCCGCCAAGTGCTACTACGTCTGCTCGATTGCCGAGCACAACAATACATTCGGAGGAATCGGATGAGCTGCTGGCCGCTCCCAGTGGGAAGGCGCATCGTCTGAGAGAAAATAGGAATGGCATTGGCAGTTGCATGCAGACCGTGGACCATCTGTCGAAAACTCGTGCGTCTGAACTAAACAAAGGGTTGGATCCGGCGGAAGAAGAGTCTGCGCTTAGACGGGAAGCTAATTCGTGGCCATCAGCGCTAGAAATGTCTAATGGCCACAGCCTTGGTTCGAGTGGAGATGACCGTTCTGTTCTCAGTGGACAGAATGCAACCGACTTTGATGACGGCGACACCTGGTTCAGCGAGCTTTACGAAGTTGACTCGTATCGTTGGGGCCGTTGGTCATCCAGTTCGAGGAATGAGAGCGGGTGGGACATGATGGGCTTTGCTGCAACAGGGCTTTCTGGAAGAAGGAAGGGAGTGTTACCTCAGGGGCTTACGCGAGGGTTGTCGAAGAGATGTGATGAGGCGGCAGATGTGGTTCGGCAAGAATACTTGGGTCCGTTAAGCGAAGCCAGGAAGAAAGTCTGGACACGGCCAAACTGGACTCCTCTTCTGGAAAAGGCGGGTGGGATTTACCGTGATCTCCGAGAACAGAAGGTGTGCAAGAGGCGCAGCTGGCGACTCATCGACTTCCTGCGCTCTGATCCGGCGGTTGAGTCGCTTGGCTTGGGGAGCGGCTCGCGTGCTTCTTCTTTCTGCTCCGCCAGCGGAAGAAAAATGTCTAGCGCATAAGTTTTTCTGGTCTTATGAAGCTTTCTGAATTTTTGACAGCGAGCTCAGGGGATAACTATGTGGGTTGTCGACCATCTGGATTGTGAAGCTCTGGAGATGGAAACGATCACGAACTGTTGCGTGATGAGACCGTGCGGAGTTTTGAAAACCAGTGAGATCACAGTTGTTGCAATGTTTGGGCCTCAGTTAGATTTTTGGTTATGAAGCTGACAGTCTGGGCCAGTGGTTCTGGGCTCCGGACAATACGAGCTGCTGTGATTCGCGATCAGCACATACAGGTCGAAGATCAGCAGATGTGTTGTTCCTGTGGAGTTTGCAGGTGTGGGGGCCTGGAAACTGACTTTAAGTCACAAAGCTGGGAACTCAAGGAGTGTGGCAATAACAGCAGAATTGACGGTGGGAGAGCGGAATTCTGCCTCTCATGTTGACGAGCGAGCTTGCACGGCCTGCTGCACACCTACTCTTCTCTGCTGCACGCCGCCTCTTCTCTGTTGCCTCCCCCCCTGCCAACAGCAGGGGGAGGAAGTGGGGAAAAGGGAGGTATGGATATGACAGACAAGTACAGCTTGACAGCATGTGGAGGTGGGGTGGGGAGGGGGGAAGAAGGTGCCAAATGGGATAAGGTATGGATGACAGAGGTTCAGCATAGTATATCAGATTGTCTTGTGGATTGTTTCACTCTGTTCCTGTGGTTTGATTGCTTGGCTTGCTCCAACAGTGCTAGAGAGTCAGTTCTATAGGAGGTCCTCTGCTGGCGATTTGTCTGTGCTAAGTCGGTGTGATGCTAATTTAGCGCTTGCATGCCACCGCTTCAACCCCACCTGCCAGTGCGTGAGTAAGACATCACATCACTGATGTAGGGCCACTAAAGTTATCCCTTGTTGAGAATACTGATAATGCATGACGGGGAGGAGAGAAGGTGGGGATCGGAGCAACGCGCACATGTCACACGACTTGACACAAGTAAGGGCCTCTCTCCCGCAGTATAAGCCTGTTAGTGTTGTTAGCAGTTTTGGTAGGCTTGCTTCCCTCTCTCTCTCCCCTCCTCTCTCTCTCTCTTGGGGATCGGAGCTGCGGAGGGATATTTGTGTGAGGAAGCCATACAGTGATGAATTGTCGACAGGTCGGGAAGAGCATGGAGTTTGATAAGCATGCTTCCCTCTCTCTCTCCCCCGCCTCCTCTCTCTCTCGTGTGAGTGTCATCTGTGCGTAAGTGCCTGTTATATCTGGCTGGCAATGGTAGTGCACTGGTATGCACTTGCATTCGACAAAGTGCATAGGTATGTAGTTGTACTCAGGGGTGCCAAACTGTTTTTCCACCAGTTCACTGTTCCTACAAAACAAGAAAAGCATATGGGAGGCTAGGATTGCTGTACGCCGTACGCTGCTCTCTGTGGGCTTGCCTGCACAAGTGCACGTGTGTCTGCCTGTGTGTGTGTGTGTGTGTGTGTGTGTGTGTGTGTGTGTGTGTGTGTGTGTTTGTGTGTGTGTGAATTTATGCCATGGCACATTTTTCCTGTGTCATGCATTTCTCCGATGAGAGTTACTCGGCTCACCTTGTACTTCAAAAATATGCACGTAGGTATGTCAAAGGTCATGGTAGGATCGGCGTTTACTAAGGCTGTGGATACTTGGCATTCATAATCAACACTGTTCCCGATGCGAAGAAAGGCTAGTCTTCCTTTTGAAGAGGATGTAACGGGGATTTGTGGAAAGGGGCAAAGGGTATTTCCAAAATGTGCAATCATCAACGCCTACCATAGAAAAAGAAAAAGAACAACCGACTTGAACCAAGGCAGTAGAAAAAGGAACAAAGGAAAAGAGTCGAAAGACATGAAAAAATGATCCATTCATTGTAGACGGAAGTAAAACTTGTAGCGCAACACAGCGTCCTTAAGTTTTCCCTCATTCGCCTATAAAATAACAGAGTGAAGAGAAGCGGCCATTCAAGGTCACGCCAGTGGCAGGTGGCAGCTCTCCTTTTTTTTTTTTTTTTTAACACGCTCCCGTCAGTGTTAGTGGTGTTGATAAGAGCTGACACCGCTAACACCTGGGGGGGAGCTCCATCTATTGGTCGGGAGCGACACCTGCTGGAAAACGGGCCAGCGTCGTTTACGTGGGCATAATTCTTTTATTGAGACACTTCCTATAAAATAACAGAGTGAAGAGAAGTGTCCATTCATGGCATTGGAAAAGGTCATGCCGGCGGCAGGTGGCAGTTCTCCTATTGAGACACGAGGATGAAGGCAGGGATGATTCTTCTGATGCGTCACGCATACCGGGGCTTGTCCCTTTGTTGAGAAGGATAAGGGTCTCGCTCCACTACTGTCCACTGTACAAAAACGGACAGTGGTACTTGGCTCCACTTACTGTCCACTGTACATGTGCAAAATGGCTTGGACAGTTTTTAGAAACCCCGTCGAAAATCTAGTACTGTCCGTGAATGTACAGCTCCCGGCCTGCAAAATTCGTTACGCGGAAAGTCTTTCAAGGGACTCATCGTGAGGACCCGAATTTGAGAGGTGGACAGCGGACAGTAAGTGGAGCGTCCGCTGTACAAAAAAATACTTCGCTCTGACAACTGTCCGAAATATTGTACAGTGGACAGTAGTGGAGCGAGACCCTAACCATGTTCTTGCCGCTTAAGCCGTCTGGACCGGAAGAAGCATCCACTTGTTAACTCTAGACTAGAATAGAACAATGAAACACGAAGATGCAATGGCAAAACGAAAACAGGAATGACGCTTGCTGCAATAACTGTTCTCCTGGGGTCGGTATCCCGGCAGAAGATCATCGCTCCGTAAGAAGGCGCAATCTCATTTGTTTTCCAACTTAAATGATGGAAAAATGGAAAAATGCTGTCTCCAAACAAGGCGCATATCAGTTCCTTCTTACTCGTCTTCAAAAAAGGCAGCAGCATACATTCATGCATGACGTCGAAAGAATTTAAAAGGAGCGACAGAAGGGGAGCAAACAAAAAACGAAAAACGAAAACCAAGTGAAATGATCGTCGTGATGACTTTCTGCGTTAGACGATATGTTTACTTCAGGGAACATCGCCGCTGAGTCCTGGGAAGAGCCAACGCGTCAACTGGTCAGACATCATCCAATGCAATGCAACACATCTACAAACATAGTATATGTGCAAAGCAAAGACACAGCAAACGTCCACTCGCTTTCCATGCTTTTCATCTCGACAAGAGGAGCATCCGTCCATGTCGGAGACCCAAAAAAAACACGGGAGAAGAAAAGGGGAAAACACACACACACACACACACGACCATTGCCATGGCTCTCCTAGTGGAGCGATATGCTTTTTTCAAAGATCATAAACACTTGAGAAGGGCGAACTCATCGATCCTTCATATATCTGATGGGGGCAAGGGGGAACCATTCATTGAAATAACGAAAAACAGAGCGTGCAGACCCGTAACTGTCGCTCGTCTTATGCGAAAAAAAGCCACCACAATTTACAACTGGCAACCTCGCCGACCATGGACTGTAACATATTGGTGCTTGCGAAGAATCCTTTGGCAGCCGTAGAACTGGAAAGAGGTTTCAGAGAGAAGAAAGGAAAAAGACGCGTGCGCTGTGCTGTTGCATGATCCCTATCTGCGTACCATGCGAGGACCAACTCAGCAGATCCACAGGAGGGGTTTCTGCCGCCTGCCAATGGCGGCGTCATAAGAAAAGGCATCTTCCGCCCGAGTGTGAGAGCGGCTGCGGTAGCGCTAGCGCCCCGACGCCGCCCGACCGGCAAGGCCCGGTCTGCCGGCTAGACTAGTGCCTGGGGGGGGGAGCTCCTCGGCCGCTACAGTCTTCCCCCGAACAAAACGCACGTTCATTAATTTCGAATAGAACGCACGGGGTGTGTTCTATTCAAATATAATGCACGTGCGTTATGCTACGGATACAGGGTACCAACTTTGGGAAAATGGGCCCCCCAAAAAATTAGTACCCTGAATCCGTACTTATCCTTCGGGATTAGCATGGCCTTTGAGCAAGGATGACAGGCATAAATCGAGAAATAGTCCACAATGCTCCACATGTAAAAAGAAAAAAGAAAAAAACACAACAGCCCGTCAAGAAACCAGGCGGGAGCGATGGGGTGGTTTGGTGTGTGTGTGTGTGTGTGTGTGTGTGTGTGTGTGTGTGTGTGTGTGTGTGTGAGAGAGAGAGAGAGAGAGAGAGAGAGAGCCGACACCCATGTGTTCTATTTGAATAGAACACCCATCTGTTCGAATAGAACATATGTGCATACTATTCAAATAGAACATACGTGCGTACTATTTCAACGTACGTACTATTTGGATTTCGGGGGCCGACTTTGAGAAATGGACTTTTCCAGGGAAAGTTCAATAGTACATACGTGCGATTTGTTCGGGGGAAGACTGTAGGCCTGTGCGCGCGCCCGGCAGATGCGCGTGTCGTCCCATCAATCGAATTAGAAAATGTTGATTTGCAAGAAAGTTGAAATTCACTAATTCTTAAATTCAAACTCAATTGCCACGTGGCAGCTGCTGTTGGATGTGGGTCTTGCTATCGGAGGATGGTCGTATCCCCTCCAATAGGAGGTTGCCACAGATGTTGTGGATTAAAAAAAAAAAAGAAGGGGCATCTTCCGTTGTTGTCGGAATGCGAGGATTTAGGAGAGCAAGAAGTGGTGGTGGAATGTTGGGAGGTGGAATGGCTGGCTGGAGGAGGGGGAGGTGGCAGGGGTATCAGGATGAGGAGGAGGGGGAGGAGGAAGAGGGGTAGCTGAGCTTGCAGGGATGATGACGAGTCGCCCGCTGGGATTAGCAACAGATACTTCGTAAACTGAAATCGTGCTCGAATGTTGAACTTTCAGCGGCACTTTTTATTATTCTCCCAACAGCCTTTTTATTAATACGTCCAGCGCTACATCACATGTTTCGTCCATACTATTGACTTTTGGTTTTAATTTGAGTCTCAGGCCGGGTTTCAGTCCAACAATGACAAAGACTTCTTCCTTGGATGGGGTTGCCGTATGGTAAAATTTTAAACTGACTTTTGTTTATTGTGAGGCTGCTTCCCGCTAATTGGGACCTTGCCTCGCTCCAGAGGCGAGGTGTCACCAATCATCAATTCCTATTTATCCGATTGTTCATTCCATTTGCCCAAATTGTCCGTTCTGACCATTGATTCGAAGATCGGCGGAGAGAAATGAAGAATCCAGATCGGTGGGGCCAAGCCCCTGCGGTCCCCGCCTGGGGAAGTTGCGGGCATTGGAGGTCGAAAGCTGTCGGTTTCCAGACCACACGCAAGGCGGTTGGGCGTCCACTCTCTGTAGGGATTGGCTCTGGCGAGGTAGTCACGGCGAGGGAGCCGTGGTAGTATCAGTGCGATTGCCGATCTACAGCCGTCCTGGCTGCAGCCCCATGCCCTGCGTGTTATCAGTTTACTACCTACGCTATATTCTTCTCTCAAATCT